TTGTCTTGATTTTTTTCTTTTATAACAGTGAGGTCCCTTTGTGAATGGCTAACTTAATTCTATCCATCTAAAGAACTAAAAATAAATGCCAAATCTATCATTTCCTTTAAATCCATCCATTTCCTGAGGTGTTCCACTTTTTAGGGTGTAGTATTAAATTAAAAGTGACGCCGAGGGAGTTGGGGTGCCAGCCCCACCCCCTGCTTGAACTCACTGGTTCAGTAATACTACTTCTGGGTTCAGTAATGCACAATTGTACGGTTGAAATATATAAGTATTATATTAAAGTCATCGAGAGCATGAGAAATAATACAATAATACAGTCAGACATATTACATGGTAGCATTGCTCACCTCCACCCCGCTTGGTGGTCTTCGTGGGGGGAACCCAGCTGCCAGAGCAGGAGCCACCTCCCTCATGGGAGCAGCCCTCCCATCCACCGCCTTCACGGGAAGCAGCCCTCCTTCCTCAGCCACCCTCGACCAGCCACCCTCGGCCAGCCACCCTCCTGAGAACCAGGGAGCCTCCTTCTTTATTGCTAACCCCGCATCATATTACTTTAGGGGGATACATCACAGCATTATGCATCACAAAGAAGGGCAATACAATTCACAACAACCTGCATCATAGGGAGGGATTGCAACATAGGCAATACAAGCAATAGGAAGGGGGTGACCTAGTCATCTTAGAGTGGTCCCGGGCTTGCCTTTGGGCACTGCTTCAAGGGAACAATAACAAAAAGGAATGGGCCCTATTTGGGGTGAGTCAGACTGTATAGTCTGGCCACTCTAGATGGCTGATGTTAAGGAGAATAACCTCTGGCTTATTTTCGCTGCCTAGTGAACAGTCATTCTCAAGCTAAGTCTGGCATATATTTTGGGGAGACAACTTAAGAGAAATCCTTTTGTTCCTCACATTAGTGATGCATAGAATTCCCTTTCATGTATTACCAAAAGTTATTAATCCATTCCTTCATCCATGGGGATTTAGGTTGTTTTCATCTCCTTGCTAGTGTGAATAGTACTGCGATGAACATGCATGTACATTCATATGTTCATGTTACAGTTTTCATAGTAAGTAAAGGGATACAGGGATATATGGTATTTCAAATTCTAGTTGTTTGAGGACATGCCATATTACTATCCACAATGTTTGTATGTTTTCATTGTCCCACCAACAGTGTGAGAGTGTTCAGCTCTGTCCATACCCTCTTCATTTGTTACCTTTTGTGTTTGTTGTTGTTGTTTGGGCTTTACCATTTGATATCAGTGTTGAATTGGCACATTGGGTGCAACAATGGCACAAGCATGGCAACAATTTTGGGAAGGCACAGGACTTGGCAGTGTTTTGTTCTGTGGCACACAGGGTCACCGTGCGTTAGACCTGACTCAAAGGCACCTAATAACGCAGCATCAGCTGGTGATTGTGAACATGTCTTGGCTACCTCCATGTCTTTCTTGGTGAACTGTCTGTGCATACCCTCGGCTCAGTTTTAAATTGGGTTTTAAATTATTTTCTTGTTGACGTGTTGCAGATTTCTA